CAGCAGATTTCTAGGAATCACGTATAATTTTAGATCACATATTAACAACATATCTACACAAACATAATATGAAAAGAAGTTTAAATATCATTTCTTATTGGACAATGCTTTTCATGTAATTTAACAAATAAAATAAAAAGTCTTTTTTGGACTTTCAGGAGCCCCCTGGAAATCCCAAAGTAAAAGTTCAAAAAGAATTAATTTTAGAATTTGATTTTGGGAAGTTTGTAAAACATATCAAAAGATTAAAAATACTTGATTAAAATAGGTTCACAGACCATTATGAAATAAAACCAAAGATTACAAAGGCAAACCCAGGAAAGTCACAAAGCTATAGAAAAACCTTAACTTTTTTAAGACTCAAGTTTTCTTAAATAATCAAAGAGTAAACAAAAAAAAACATGAAACACAGATAAAATACACTTCATAGAACATAGAATCTTTTGCTTCCTAGGCTTGCCACTTAAGTAAAAACAAAACAAAACAAAACAAAAAACAAAACTGACCAATGGTCTAAGAAAATTCTTCTGTTTCACTAAAGGGACCAAACTCTAGTTTTACATGAGTGTAATTCTAATATCATCACTCAATTTTTATGAAAATACTTATAATTTTCTTCTAATCAGAGCCAACTTGATCACACATAAAATTTCTTTCACAGGATTCTCTCTCTACAAACCACTCAGGGCATTCCATAACCTTTAGCCATTTGCCCTTCTTTTCTTTTCTCTAACATTGAAACGACCAGCCTACTTTAAGATTTTCCCTCAAACAAAACACATCATATTCCATAAGCTCCCTTATAAAACAGGCCTTCCTTTCTTACAGGCACAGTTGTTTTTCCTAATTCTAACTTTAGTTCCCATATAGTAGTTACCATTTTAATTCCTAGCAATTGTGCACCCAGTATTCTGTAGGCTAACAAAACTTCTAGATATGTGTTTTCTCAAATTACAAAATTTTTCATGTTTATGAACAAATCCAGGTACAATCAGCTTCTCAATACCATCCAAAAACAAAAAAGTACATAAACTTTAAATTTATAATTAATGATCAATGTTTTAGTATTTTATTTAGAAAGGACTTGGGTATCTAATTATCACAAAAAAGTTTTTTGAAACTATGAAAAGTTCATTTATAAATGCCCATGTCACTTACATTTGCCTATTTTGCCCATTTTTAACAATTATGTTTGAATTACTTATGAAAAGCAAAGCCGGCCATCATTTTAAGCTTTTGTTTGTTTACTTTTGAAAAGGCAAAACCAAACTAACAACTCTATCAGCTTACTCTATTCTACAGAAGGCTTCTGAGATGTCAGACACAGTTACCTTCTCTAAAGTCCCTCCTAGTCCCCCTGGGTCTCAGCACCCACAGGTTGCCCAGGACTGCTGTGAATACCGGGGCCTGTGTGGGTCCTTGATTTAAATACTAGGTGAGGGGCCCAGGAAAGAGGACAGAGGAGAGTGTGAAAATAAAAGAAGAATTATAATGAAATCAACATTCAAGAGCTTTTCAAAATGGAGTCCTAAGGCTGGGGGTGTAGCCCTGTGGTATAGTGCTAATCAAGCACTGGGTTTGTTCCCTGCATCCAGGAGAAAACATTCTAAATGAAGTCCAGAGGGTATGAGGAAGAGGGACTTATGCATTTGTGATTGGATGAGACTTGACTACTTGTTATAAGAGTAGTTTACAATATGCCTACACATCTGAGCAGGTTACAGTTTACCTATGTATGGAAAAACCTTTAGGAGGCAGCTGCAAGTCAATCTTAATTCATCACATATTACCCTACTGAACTTGCCTAAGCTTTCTTTTTGGGGGGGCATTGGGGGCACAGGGCCAAGGATTGAACTCAGGGACCACTGAGCCAATCCCCAGCCCTATTTTTTATTTCATTTAGAGACAGGGTCTCACTGAGTTGCTTAGCGCCTCACTGTTGCTGAGGCTGGCTTTGAACTCATGATCCTCCTGCCTCAGTGTCTCCAGAGCTGCTGGGATTGCAGGCATATGCCACCACAACCAGCTCTAAGCTTTCTTCTTAATGCTGTGTTTCTTCTGTACTTTTTTGGTTCCTCCTATATGCAATGAAAGGTATCAAGCCTGCTATACATCTAAAAGATTACAACACTGAATTTGCAGCCACTAGGTAATAATTCACTAAAGATTATCACAATCCTCCAAAGGAACAGACCTTTCCAACTCTTAAATCTTTTCCTGTTCACACTGGCTCCAGGAGTTGTACCAGTGTATAGCCACAATGGCCAGTCCACTAAAGTCAGTGTTGGTTCCACATGGATTGTTACATCTCTACATTCAAGTTACAGCTTCTTGGGCCCTGATAGCAAGGAAGAAGCCTGAATCTTTCACAGAAGAATAATACTTTAAAGTATGTTTTGAATGGTTGTCCCCAAACCTAAAGAATCTCAAATTGATGCTATTTCCTGTTTCTTCATTTACATTCCTTTCACCCTCATGTTCATCAAGTTTGTTTTTTTTTAAAGTTCCTGGGTTTTATAAATATATTACTGCAAACTTTATGGCTTGTAGCAGCAATGATCAACACAAAAATACATTCAAAGCTGGGCATGTGTCATGCACCTATAATCCCAGCAACCCAAAGGCTAAGGCAAGAAGAACTCAAGTTTAAGGCCAGCCTGGGCAACCTAGCAAGTCTTAAAATAAAAAATAAAAAGAGATGGGGATATAGTTCAGTGGTAGAGTACTTATCTAGCATGTATGTGGCTCTGAGTTTGATCTCCAATACCATGTGAAATTAAAAAGAAAGAAAAAAAGAAAAGAAATCATAGATCCAGAAACATGGTTGGCATAATTGCTGTGTACTATTGTTGGATGTGATTTGTCCTCCAAAGGTTCATGTGCTGGAAGCTTGATCCTTTATGGGAATAGTAAGAGATCACGGAACCTTTAAGAGATGAGCCCACTGGGGGTACTGCCCTTGAGAAAAAAAAATCAAATGTAATGTAAAAAAATAAAAATATACAAATAGAATCTCCAAGTTTTCTTAAACCAAACTATTTTTCTACACTCCCTGGGATGAATTCTAGATCTGATTATAGCATAAGACCTTTCAAGATTTCCTTATATTATTAAGAAAAGCTACAATAAACAGAAGACTTGTGCCAGTGAAGTTTTATTTATTACTTCAAAATAATTCAAGTTTAATCTAGCATATATTGACTATATATTGCTATATTTAGAATAAAGTGCTTTTCCTTGTCTGAATAGCAACTATGGAGAAAGAGCACATTTGTTTTTAATGTATAAAGTTGGACCAGGATGGATTTTATTGAATAAAATAGTAAGTCAAAAGAATCATTTAATTTTATATATACTACTGGCTGATTATTAACATTAATCATAAGTAAGTTTTTACACAGGTATAATAGATTATTTTCATATCAATTCAATTAATTATACACCTCTCAAGGAGACAGTGAATCTTATTACATTATTATTATCATAGTAGTTGCTCAAACATTGGGTAACTGGCCCTGTTTTTGTTTGCAGCAGCTTGATGAGCCTACTATATGACACTTCTGTCCCTGGAGTGACAACGACAACTTCCACCCACTGACTTTTTACAGTTACAAAGAGTCAGCAAAATAAACAATGTTAACAAAGCTGAAAAACAAATATCTTACCCTTATACAAATGTTGATTATTATCATAATTTTTCTTTGCACCAAAGCTAATTTCTGTCATACCTAATTCACAAATAACTGCCATGGATTATAGCATGAGGGGTTGAAATAATTAAGAAGAGATACTGGGGTGGAGGTTGTCTTAGAAATGATCTCCAAACAAAAAGAAATGGTGGAGAGGATGTGGAGAAAAAAGAACTTATACATTGTTGGTGGAACTGTGAGTGAGTACAACCACTATGGAAATCAGTATGGAAGTTCCTCAAAAGACCAGGCATGGAATCACTATATGAGCCAGCTACAGCACCCTTCTGTATTTATCCTAAATAATTAGCATAATATAGTGATACATGCATACCCATGTTTATAGTAGTGGAATTCACAATAGTCAAGCAATGGAACAAGTCTGTGGTATACATATACCCAATGGAGTTTTATTCAGCCATAAAGAAAAATGAAATTATGTCACTTGCAGGAATGTGGATGGAACTTGAGAAAATAAGCCGAAGTCAAGGGTCAAAGTTTTCTCTCATATGTGGAAGCTAGAGAGGAAAAGGGAGAAAAAAAAAGGTAAGGGGGTATGTTATGAAAACCAAAGGGAGATCAGTAGAGGAGAGGGAAGGGACCAGGGGTAAGCAGGAAGGGAGGAAGGGAGGAAGGGGAAAGTGCCAAAGAGTGATACTGGCCAAATTATATTGTTATATTGTGTGTATATGAATATGTAACAATAAATCCCACCATTATGTACAATTGCAATGCACCAATAAAAAACGTGAAAAAACTCTGCCTTAGAATGTTTATTTTTAAGCGGGGGAAAAAACCCATAAGACCTTTTATCCAGTGAGGACAGGATCTGAACTCCTTACAAACTAAACTAAAGCTATACCTACTTTGTGCCTAGACATGAATTTAGGGAAAGGAATTAATCAGTGTAATTGACTTCTAAGGTTCTTTCCAATTCGAAGCTTACAAAATTGGGGGAGAAAAATGTAGAAAACAACACATCAACATTCTCAACCCCCTACACCTTCTCCTTCTAAGAGAGAGAAGAGGGGAGGGGAGGAGAGGGGAGGGGAGGGGACAGGAGAGGAGGAGAGGGGAGGGAAGAAGAAAAGGGAAAAAGAGGGGAGTGGGAGGAAGAGAGGAAGGAGTAAGAAGAGACAGAAAGAGACCCTTTATTTCACTCTTTCTGGGATGACCTAGTTCCACAAAGAGAAAAAAAAAAAAAAAACAGCACTGGGGCGTGCCAGTCGGAGCAAAGATACTATTCTCACTTGAGACTCACCCCGAGGTAGCCAGAGCAATACATTTCCTCTTTTCCAACACCCCCAACCAACTCAACCTTCTGGAGTCTCTGTCCTTGACCCTGAGTAAACTGGCCCTAGGAAAGCACAGGGACCAGGGAAAGAGACTGAAAAAGTGGATCAGGCCCTGCAGCAGCATTTCAGATTCAGTGTTATGCTCGGGCAGGCAGGCGTGGAGTCCCCAGTTTACTCTCTGTGACTGGGACACAGCTGGCTTTGAATAAGAACATTAAATATACAGCACCATAGTTTGGTCTTGGGCCTGGCCTCCGGCCGGTGGCGCCCAGCCATTCGTCTCCGCCAGCCAAGGCCTGGCCCTGGTTTCCGCTACACCGGGAATGTCCAACAGCTCGCAGTCACACCTGTTAGGTGTTTCTCCACTCCGCGTCTCCGCCCAGCTAGCAACCCCCGCACCGCCTGGGACCCGGGTGCAGAGCGGGTGAAAAAGGACCGAGAAGTGGGACCCGGCCTTCTGAAATAGACCCCCCCGAGACTCGGGACTCGGCGCGCCAGGCCGGCGCGGGGAGGGGGGCCTGCGAAGGCGGGAGAGGTCGGACAGGGGTAAGGGAAGGCCTCGGGAAGGGCCGTTACTGCTCGCGTTACGCTTCCAGAGCCTGCGGCAGAGGCGGCGGGGCTGAGCCGCCTAGGGGATGGTGCTCGTACCAGCCTCTGCGTTTCTCCTCGAAGCCCGGCCTCGCCTCCCCTCGCCCAGCCGCCGCTCTAGTTAGGCCGCGCAGAGTAAGCGCGGGCGTCGCCGGCCGCACGTCGCCCGGGACTGGTGAGGAGGGCGCGGCAGGGGCAAGGCAGGGGACTCTGCAAGCCAGGCGGCCCTAGCATCCCCCAAGCGCACAAACCCCGGCTGTACGGGACCGCGGCCCGGACCGCGACCAGGACGGAGCTCCCCGCTCGCCCCCCGGAGACCGGCAGCGACCGGGAGGCAACGCGGGGCTCCGCCGCTCGACTCGCAGCTCCGCGCACCCGGCGGCCGCGACGCGGGTTCGGGCGCCCGAGTGGCCTCCGAGCCCATGGCGGGCAGCGACGTGGACAGCGAGGGGCCGACACAGAGGGGCGGCGCGGTGCGGCGTCCGGGGCCCCCCAGCGGGCTGGGAAGCGAGGCGGCCGCCCGCTGCCCGGAGCCGCTGTCCACTGCTGAAGCGTCGGCCGAGGGCACCGCGCTGCCCGCCTGGATGCGCCTCTACTTCTATGGGATGCACGGGATCACCCTGGACGTACTGGTGTCCTCGGCGCGGCGCTTCGCTCGCAGCCCGGACCTCCGGATGTTAGGCTTCTCTTCGCCCTACCGCTGTCTCCTGCACTCGCTCACCCACTTCGCCCTGGAGAAGATCTACCTGCAGCAGCCGCGCTGCCCCAGCGCCTTCGTCTTCAATTTTTTCCTTTACCCCTCGGCCCACGTGGGGCTGCAGACCCTGGCCGGCCAGGCGCTACTGCTCAGCCTGGGTGACGGGCCGGGGGGCGCGGCGGCGCCGGGGGCGCTTGACCTGGCGCTGCAGTACGTGCTGGCGCTCTACCACTGCCAAGTGTTCCTGAAACGCTTCCTGCGCTTGAGATACCGGCGGCAGCAGCAGCAGCAGCAACAGCAGCGGAGGGGCGCCCTCCCTGCCCCTCCTGGAGCCCGGGCCCCTTCGGGAGCCAGTGGCCGGCGGCGACGACCCCGCTGCCCCAAGGGCGCAGTAGGAGCCCCTAACCAGGGGCTACCAGACCTGCTCCGTTTTCTTTTCTTCGGAATGCATGGATTTTTGGATGAGATCTTCTTTACCTTCTTCTTTAATGTGCTAGGACACGGGGATGGGGCAACCAATGGTCACACGTCGTTATGGTCCTTTTTTATGTATGGCAGCTGCAGTTTTGTGGTGGAAAAGCTCTACTTCCACCTCCACTACAGCCGAGGCTGGGGCACCTGGAAGCGGGTACCCATCTACGTGATCTTCATCTATGCTTGGGAATTGTCCTGGGGTCTGGGACTTCGCACGTGTGGGGCTTGTTCCTGGGACTATTCTCACTACCCGCTCAATTTTATGGGTCTCATCACCCTGATGTATTTACCTGGCTGGATATTCCTTAGTGTGTACCAGGACCTGCTTTCCAACGTGTTGTGGCGGGTGCAGTATGTACCAACTAACTAAGACCCCGGGAAATAAGAAAAAAAAAAATAAAGAGAAGAGAAAAAGTCATTGGAGTCCCACAAATGGACGCAAATTATTTTTACACTTAAAATGAAGTGGGTTTTTTTTTAAGTCCTTTAATTTTTATACACTTTACTAAACGCTTCCAATAGATTTTATTCGACGTCTTAGCTTTTCTGACTACTTAGAACCTATGTAAAATACAATACTTTGAAAAACTCAAAAATAAAGTACTTAACTCATTGATATTTTAAACCTTTACAAGCCCAAACAGCAAAACCATTATACCTTAACATGGGAAAGCTGTAATACTCGGCTGGATGTAGATGGGTGATAGCTGTTATTTTTTTCTTTTATAATATGGAAGTTCAAACCAGAGAACAATGATTTTTACGGAATTTTTTTTTAAATTCTGATTTAATGGTTTGTTTAATTGCTTTCTAATCCAATTTCATTTTCACTCTTTACCATATTTACCAATGATGGTGGAAACTATAAGTCTGGTACTTACGAAGTTGCAGTTGGTAGCTCTTTAAAGTGCCTCTGTCTTGCACACATAAAAAGAATTTGACAAATGTGAAAAAAAAAGAATACTATGAATATATTTTGAAATAAGAAATCTTTTCTAGTAACTCAAACAGGTGACACTGTGTTAGGATATTTGATCACATCCTACAAATGACTGTTTTCCAATGTTTGTTAGCCTTAATTACCAAGCCTATCAATGTTGATTGGATCCTGTATTATCTGTGGCTGTATTTTTGTTACTGTGCAATAATATAAATTGTTTACCCTATATGTCCAAGGGCCAAGTAAAGTTAACACTACCCAAGCTTCAAGCATAGAAACACAGTATCTTGAAATAAAATGAACCTGAATGTTCACTCTAATAACAGTAAGGCCTAATTGTTTTCTGTGATTACAAATAGATGTTTTCAGCATGTTTCTGTCCTGGTTCACTTGTAAACCTTTCTTTTTTCTTATGGGCCCAGAGTTCTGGGTTAGGCCTGATGTGGTAATGTACTTTATAAATCAATGATAGCTTTTGGGTGATTTGTTAGTGTCTGAAAAGTTCAAAGTTAAATGAGATGATGGAAATCATTTTAAGAAATTATGTCTAATTAATTAATCATGCACTTTGAGGTTATTTATTGTTTTTTCTTATATTTAGAAAATGCAAATATATAGGGTATAGCTTAGCTAAGGATGACTAGTACTTTTCCAGTTTTCATTACAAAGATAATTTTAAAAACTTACAGTGTGTAGTCATGCATGCACCAATGCTGTAAAAAGAGATGTTTTTCTGTTTTTGAAAATGTTTGCTATAGGAATAGAAAAGAATATGTACTTAGATCTGGCTAAGTCAGATCTAGTTCTAAGAGTGTTTTATTATTTCAATTCACTCTCTGAGATTGTGACCTAAAACATAAGTAGTGCTATGTTATCAACCCTACTAGTGAAAGGGATTGTGTCAAACTGATTATTTTAAACACTCAAAGCTGAGTAGAAACTTCAAAGAAAGCTAACTGCTGAGAAAGTTTCACTTAAGTTCTCTATGACACTTGGTCAGAAGTCAAAGATTTTTGAAAATTTGGGGAGAAAAATGTGTAAGCATAGATAGATACTAAAGTTATGCAGATAAAATATTTGATATACAAATGTGACAAGAGCACATGAATCTTAAGAGTGGTATCACTACACCACACCTTTCCTGTAATGCTCAACCAAATCCATGACATCTGAAATATTTGCTAACTGTACACATTTGCACGTATGCCCTTTGCATACCGCTCTTCAGCCCTGCTTACCTGCCTACCAGCATTCCCAAGGATAGAAATCTGTCAAGAAATAGGAAAGCATTCCATTTTGTTTTGCTTTCCATATTAATCCTGTTAAAAGGAAAGGTCAGGGATTACATTTGCTCAATTCATTCAAGAAATACTCAATGAACTTCCACTATTTTCTAGGCAATTTTATGGACTCTGGATACTGCAGTGAACTCACAAAAATCTCTGTCCTTGCGAAGCCCACATTCCATTTTTTTTAATTTATATGAGATTATGCTTATTTGCTGTTTTAGTAATAGATAATGATGAGGCAGTGGTTATGAGGGCTCTCATCAGTTCTGTCCCTGGAATATCAATCTATCATGTCTAAAACAAAAGCCCATTAACAGTCTGCTGGTTCTACAAAGAGCCAGTATGTGTTCAGGAAGTTATTAGCCTATTAACTCAGCACCTTGCTTTAGGGCTTCTCATTCTTGTTTACTTAACTTCTTAATGGTGATATTTTGCTGCACCCTTTAAACCTTTAAGGAAAAAGTAAAGAAAAAAAGGAAACATCAAATCATTTAATTTGGTTACTCTTTAATAGATCAGAAAGAGAAATAAGGCAATGTAATGATAGTTAATATTTAAGTAGCATTTACCACATGCCAAGAACTGTTTTAAGTGTGTATGTGTGTATATATATGTATACATATATCTAAGTAAGTGAATATACATTCATATGTATCAAAAGCAAATGTCTAATGTGTACATACATATCTTACATGTTTAAAATATATATATTTATATGTGTGTATACATTTTCTTAACCTATAACAACCCTATTTATACAGATGAAGACAACAAAACTAAAGTCCCAATAGATTAACTAATCACCCAAGCATACAGCTATGGGGCATTTAGATTTGAATGGCACTGCAGGGTCTGTTCTAATAGCTACACAATCACACCTCAGTAAACCAGCCACAGTGATTTAGGAACTTCTCTGAATTTCATACCATACCTGTATTGCTCATGCAAGGGTAACTGTATAAAACCAGACGCCATTAACAAAAGATTCATTCATATTATCTTTTTATTCCATGGTCAACTACAAGGGAGCTAATAGCAGGATCAAGGCTGACAAGTCAGTCTCATTCTACTCCTCAGATGGTATGCCTTTATATTTAAGCAGTGCTCTGAAGCAGAGTTCTTGTTTAATGTCAGATAATTTTAATTATAAGAATTACATGCTAGGGGGCTGGAGTTGTGGCTCAGCGGTAAATTGTTCACCTAGCACGTGGGAGGCCCTGGGTTCAATCCTCAGCACCACATAAAAATAAACAAAAAAAAAAACAAAGGTAAAAAAAAAAAAAATAACATGCTAAAATGCAAGGTACCTTGTAGCACAAACTACTAAAAATTCATGTAATTATTGCTATAATCACAAACTTAGAACTTTTAAGTATCGTTGTACGAACTAAACAGCCAAAAATTATAGATAACATTTTTACAATGACATTTATTCTAATTTCTACTAAAGCCTTAAAAAGTTCTTAATCGAAAAACATGGAAAAAGCAACAAATGTAATTTTTCTATCCATGTTTAACATATACGATGCTGTTTTAAATTTTAAATCAATTTTATTGATTTCTCTGACTCTAAAGAGGAATGTAACCTTTTAAATTTTTATGTTAGGGACTGGGTTTTTGGCTCAGTGGTAGAGCACTTGCCTAGCATGTGTGAGGCACTAGGTTCGATTCTCAGCACCACATATAAATAAGTGAATAAAATAAAGATCTATCAACATCTGAAAGAATTTTTTAAAATTTTTATAACAATAAATACAGAAGTTCCTGTGTCCAACAAAGACCCTGATAATGTTAATAATCCATTTCAATGTTTCACACTTTTCTAGAATTCAGTGTACTTAACTATGACTATTTTACCATAAATACTTGATTTTTCATGCTTCAACTTAGAAAAAATATATAGCTTGGAAAAATTATTTGTATTTTGTTATTTAAGAAATGTCTTTAGTTGACTAATCCTACCTTTGCAATTTAAAAAAAAAAAGAATTTCTACTGCTTTGAAACAGTCTCTGTTAGCAGGATGGACTTAGTGATGTTTATGAAAAGGGCAAAGAAGAATTGTTGGTAGATGGCTTTGGTTCTTCTCCCCTTCCAAAATTTATTTTTAAAAAATCAATATATCTAGGATGAATATATTCCCAATACATATTTGGAATAAATTAGCCATTATATTGTAATGTCTGAAAACATTATAATAAAATAATTTTCCTTATATTAAGAGGCATTAACTTCTTTAATCTTTTCAATGAACTTTAAATATACTGTTTACTGGAGTTAAGCTCCTTTACTGAAGAAAAATAAGAAAAAAGGATATTATTTCTTCATCTCTTTATCACATACCTTCATTTAGACTGAAGTGAAAGATGGCAATAAAAAATGGTTCTGTTGTATCTCCAGTCTCCCCTCCTCTCCTACACTTGATACCAGAGGAAGGAATAAAAATAGCAATTGTCTGAGGACCTCTATTCACTAGACTTGGCCTCATTCTCATTTTTAACTTTGAGGCATTGAGCCATCACACAGGCTGCCAGTTACTAGCAACCCAAATTGCAAATTAACCTGGGAAAGTTTTCCTTAGAGAACTTTTTTTTTCTATTACTATAAAGAAAATATACATATGGAGAATTTTTCATTAATTTTTAAACTATCTTTGGAAAAATTGTCAAGCTAATTACCAGATGGTGTGGGAACGGGGAATGTTTGGTCCCTGATGTGAAGAAAGGCTTGAGTTTTTTTTTTTTTTTTTTTCTTATTTATAACAATTCTATTAGAAAGCAAAAGTCTGGCTGGGGATGTGGCTCAAGCGGTAGCGCGCTCTCCTGGCATGCGTGCGGCCCGGGTTCGATCCTCAGCACCACATACAAACAAAGATGTTGTGTCCGCCGAAAACTAAAAAATAAATATATATATATAAAAAAAAAAAGATCACAGTTGTGAAATGTTTAAAAAAAAAACAAAAAGAAAGCAAAAGTCACATGGATCACCTTCCCAAACTAGAAAAAAAAAAAAATGTTTACTGTGATTAAGGAGAATTCAAGGTTGAAAGAAACTATGAAGATTAACAATGACAAGTCTTCTACCCAAAGCAGGAATTTGCATCTCCAAAAGATGATTTCTCAACTCAATTTGGAATGACTATTAAAGAAAACATTTATTGTGTTTTTCACACAAAGACTAAATGGAGGGAAAGCTACTAGCAACTGAGTTGTTAAATCCCACTCTCTATCAGTAAAGTGAGAAGGCTTCCAAAACTTCCAGGAGTTAATATATGTCATTTAATCTGTTTATTTAAAACAATAAAACATTTTAGAAACCTTTTTTTCTTCACTTAAAAACATCAATGTTTCATTCTGTTTTTCATATTTATAGACTTCATATATCTTTTCAGATGATGCAGGGTTTTGAGAGCCTTAAGAAAAATTATGATTATTTCAGAAAATAAAAACACTTTGATTGAGATATAGGAAGAATAGAAGATTAAATAGTAGGAGCCAAGCTTGAATCCTTGGAATTTGAACCTGGTTCAACCCAGGAAATGCCTTTGGTCAGATGCTCTTTTTAACCAGTGGGGTATCACCTGGTGGATTTTGGGTAACTTCCTCTGCAGATCTCAACAGAGGCATCCGGAAAGGAATTGAGAAGCCATTGGTGTCATAGAAACAAGTAGCTAGTAGTCAAGGATGAATGAGGCTGTGGATTAGCATGCTCACTCAAAAAACTATACTTACTATACTAAAAAGAAAACTAGTCTCTCTTTTATGGGATTCCAATAGACATTTATACTGTATACAAGATATTTTATTAATGTAGTATTAATATTTTTTTATTGGTTGTTCAAAACATTATAAAGCTCTTGACATATCATATTTCATACATTAGATTCAAGTTGGTTATGAACTCCCAATTTTACCCCAAATACAGATTGCAGAATCACATCGGTTACACATCCACATTTTTACATAATGCCCTATTAGTAACTGTTGTATTCTGCTACCTTTCCTATCCTCTACCATCCCCCCTCCCTCCCCTCCCATC